GCACTGGATTTGGATGTTTTCTTGATGTGCACTTAACCTTTACATAAAACTCTCTCTTTTGGATATGGGTTTCTGTGGATTTGTTTCTCTAAGGGACCCAGGCTCGCACAGCACATCTTCTCTCCTCCATCCCAGCTAACATGATCTTGTGGCTAATGGGGCATCACAGCAGGACTTGGCTCTGCAGAGAACTCATTAGATCATGGGACCTCAATTATAACCAAATGAAGGGGAGATGAAAAATTTAAAGAAAAAAGTATTAAAAAAAAAAAAAAAGCTGAAACATGCTGATGGCTATAGCAGGGGAGCCTTCTGTAACTGCTGCCTCTGGTGCGTAAATGAAAACTGTGGTTTCCAGGAGGATTTTCTCAGAAACCCTCAAAGCCTGCCTTACCAAAATGAGTTCCACTACCGCTGAATATGCAAATCTCTTCCTTTGAAATCTCTTCCTTTGAAATAGCACAGCCGTCATTCTCATTGCAGGGGCTGCTGGGAAGGGCTGCCGGTGGCCCTGCAGCAGGTGACAGGTTGTGGGAGAAACCCAGGCTGGGCAGTGCCACCATTTCCCATGGGGCTGGTTGGCAGCCTGGCGGCTGGCCCAGGGGCAGCTGTCATTAGCTCAGCGTCCACATGGCATCGTCCACATGGCATCATGGTAGGAAGTTCTCTGCGCTAGCAGCCATCACACGTCTTAGACGTCGCACAGCTAAAGGCAGACAGCTGCACAGGGCAGCCCCTGGCGTCTCCTGACCCAGTCGTTGAGAAAGGGCTACAAAGCCAAACTAACTGATCATAATGGCATGGGTAGGCATGACACTCATGCTCCCTGCAGAAGAAACTTCTAACAAATGCACAATAGGAGCCATCCCTGAGCCTGGCTGCCCCCTGACTGTCCATGGCCAGCAGAGAGAGGGCATCAGGCAGGCACTTGGCAACCCCACCATTCTAGTCTGAGTTAGTTTATTGTGCCAACCTGGCTGATAAACACATGTGAGGTTAATTGAAGGGCAGAGGGATAAAAGGTTCGGTGAACCTTGCCTTTCTAGTTCTCGGGTCTCTTGCTTTGTGATGGTTGGACCAGGGTGCAGCTGCCTTAGCAGTTCCCTGCTTCAGCATGCAAGACTGACTTCCTGCAAGATGTCCCCAAGGAGAAGCCATATGAACCTACCCCGATGCAGCCCTAGGTGCTGGAGCAGCCGTGTAGAGACCCCTGCCAGCGCTGAGACGTTTACACATTCACTGACTTGGCTTTCCTCCTGCAGTCGGCATCATCTGTCTGTTTTGTGAGATGGAGGAGGATTTTGTGGACTGGTGTTGGACATATGGGTTAATGTTGGACTTGTGGACTTGGGCAGGACTGGGTTGGGATATTTTCCTGATGCACAGTTAACCATTCTATAAAACTCTCTTTTACATGAGTTTCTGTGGATTTGTTTCTCTGAAGTACCCAGACTAACATAATCCAAAGACACCCTCTCCTGCTGGTGAGTTACAGCGCCCATGGGTGTCTCTATGGTTTCATTATTTCAAAGGCCACAGCCCAGGACAATTCCTAATGGCAGTTTTTGAGTTGGCTTTCTGCAGGACCTCAAAATAATTTTTTTGCAAGGGGGGTGGGGAGGAGTCTGACCTCCATCTTGGGATTCACCAACCAGCTACCACAATGGGTGTGAGCGACACTGGCTCTTCCTGTGTGACTCTGGGCTTCTGTGTAACCCTTCCCCAGGTGGGGGACCAGGGCTTCTTCCATAGGTACATTGAAAACGGAGGGGACGCAGCATGAGATTTTCCCCATGAATGTTTTGTAAACTCCCTCGCACAAAACATGCAGGCCTAGATAGAGTTCGCAATGCAGTCAGACATTTGATGGGGAGTCTGGGAAGTCGGAGACTCTTCAACGTTGGTCAGGGTGCTAAGGTGATTAGCACTCCCCAAGCGGCTGGGCTTCTCCTGTTTTGAACCATGAATTGCTTCTTCTTGAGTGTGCTTCCATGACTTCACTAGATGTAGGTCCAGTGATCAGAATAACCCTCCTTATAACAGTGAACTCTTACCCAAGTGCTCACTCTGCGTGAGACACGTGTTGCACCTACATTTACCTTTCTTTCTCCCAGCAATGCCATGGGGTGTGACTGTTAAGACGATTCTGACACTTAATGACCCCGTGAGACAGGAAGTGCCGCCGCACCAGGGGCCGCAGTCGGCAAGCTTGGTGGAAGTCAACCGCCAGGTCTCTTCTCCCACAAAGCAGCTGATGGGTTCGAATCCCCAACATTTCTGTTAGCAGCCCCTAAAGCACAGGACCACCTGAGCCCCTTTCCATGAATCAGGAATTATTATTACTCCCAACTCCCAAGGCCACACATCTCTGTGTGGCAGAGAAGACTACCAGCAGAGAAGCTCTTGACCATATAAGTCTCCCCTTACAACACAGAAAAGGGGGAGCGGGATTACATGTCTAACAAACGAACCAACTCAAGCCAGGGTGGATGTTGAACACATTTTAAATGGAAATGTGACTCATTAAAAGTCCACTGCTGCATAACCAACCCTTGGTGCCGGATTCAGCAAGAGATGGGTGAAATGGCTTCTTAAGTGGAGAAAAAGAAAGCGCAGTGGGTAGTAGTAAAAGCTGGGGCAAGGCGAGAGCATGCTCAAGCTTCGGGTCTGACCCTCTGAGTGAAATGGACTAGGGTCCCTGGCTCTGAGAGAACGAGTCAGTCGGGATGTCACAGAAAACGAAGGTCTGTCTACTTGCATGAGTTAC